CCCTCAGCACCTCCGCCTTAGAAATCAAGATCTGGACAAGGGGTCTGCTTGCTCCTGCCTGGTCTCAACGCTAGGGAGGGGTGTGTGTGTGTGTGTGTGTGTGTGTGTGTGTGTGTGTGTTGGGGCTGGGGGTGCGGCTCGGTGGTGGGGCGCTTGCCTAACGTGTGCAAGGCCCTGGGTTCCATCCCCAGCACCACAGAAAGGTAACACTGACCCGCTGCTTCCTTAGGAGAAGCACCGCTCCTCTATCCCCAGCAATGGAGCCGCCATCGATATCGTTCACTATGAGAGCAGCGCCTCCTAGAGTTTAGCAGGGGGACAGCCTCAGACTCAAAGTTACGGTACCCGTCACAGGCTTAACCCAGCATAATCGCCGCTTCAGATGCACAGAGGAAGCCCTGCTTGTTATTTGAGTTACTTGGAATTCAACAGCTGTGCTGATTTCAGGGGCCTAGCATTCTCTGTTGAAGGTAAAAGGAGATCCCCCTATCTTCTGACGGTCGGAAACAAGTTTGCAGAAAATGATTAAAAGATTGATATAAAAATACAGTAATCCCAGTGGTACATGCCTGTAACCCCAGCACTGCGGGAGGCCGAGGCAGGAGGATCTCAAATGCGAGCTCAGCCTTGGGAATGTAGCTAGAGTTTGGGACCCTGAAATCGAATCTGAGGTCCTCTTGCCTCAGCCTCCCACGGTGCTGGGGTTATAGGCATGCACCACCAAGCTCAGTGTACCCAGTTCTTTTTTTTGTTTGTTTGTTTTTTGGGTACCAGGAATGGAACTCAGGACCTTGTGCTTGCCAGGCAGGCACTGTGTCACTGAGCTAAATCCCCAGCCCCTGAGAGAGTTAATGTTGCCAGGACAATATCCTGCTGTCTTTGTATACTAAAAGTGTTATATGGTAAACATTCCATTCCAACACAGCCTGGACTTTTTTGTTTTGTTTTGTTTTGTTTTGGGTTCCGGGAATCGAACTCACGACCTTATGCTTGCCAGGCAGGCGCTGTGCCACTGAGCTAAAGCCCCAGACCCCGACGTTTTTTTTTTTTGAGACTGGGTCTCGCTATGCAGTTCAGGCTAGCCTTGAGCTCACTTTGTAGCCCAGGCTTGTCTCGAACTCGAAACGAACCTCCTATCTCAGCCTCCTAAGTGCTGGAATTACAAGCGTGTGCCACCACGCCCGGCTCAAGGTGGTATACTCTTAAAAGCCCAAACTATTTGCACCCTGGCACTTTCCAGAAAGTTTACCAAGTCTGGCCAATACGCCTTTGAATAAATCTTCATTAGAAATTCCTAGAAAGAGAAACCTTTGCCCATGAGTTTTAAAAGATCCTATCTGCTGGTTGGATGCAGTAGTCCTAGGAGTAATCTGAGTTACTTAGGAGGCTGAGGCAGGAGGATTTTTTGAATCCAAGAATTTTAGTCTAGCCTGGGCAACATAGTGAAAACTTATCTAAAAAAATAAAATAAGCCAGGTGTGGGGGCCCACACCTGTACATGCCAGCTGCTCAGAAGGCTGAAGCAGAAAGATGGAAAGTTCCAGCTCAGTCTCTTAGTGAGATTCTGTCTCAAGACAAATAAATACCCAGTATGGTGCCATCTGTCTGTAATACTAGCACTCTGGAGGCTGAAGCAGGAGGATCTCCAAGAGTTCTCAGCTAACCTGAGCTACATAGTGTTCAAGACTACATAGTGAAGTGTTATGGTTTGTGTCTGGGTGTCCCCCCAAAGACACATATATAGTCAAGGGGCAGGCTTTTAGAGTTTATGACTGATTCATGGGTGTGATAGCTACACCTGCCCTGGGGCGGATAGTTTGCATATGTAAGGAAGAGGAAGAGACTGCTTGCTGCCACTCCTCCCTTTTTGCTCTTGTTGCCTTTGCTGTTTTCTGCTGCCACGAACATTTGCCCTCTGCCACGTGCCACTCTGCCTTGGAGCCAGCCAAGTATGGACTGAAACCTCCACAAACTGTAAGCTAAATAAACCTTTCCTTCCCTAATTTTGGATGTTGGGCATTTTGTCACACCAACAAAAGAAAAATAACCAAGACATGAAGAATATATCACCAAGCCTAGCATGGTGGTGCACGCCTGTAATCTCAGCACTCAGGAGGCTGAGGCAGGAGGATTGCTGTGAGTTCAAGCCTAGCCTGAACTACAAAGCGAGACCCTGTCTCAAAAAAAACAACTATGTACTGAGACCCTGCCTCAAGTCCCTCCCTCTTCCCCCCAAACAGGAAATTCTAATCGGAGACCCACAAGCTAATGAACAGGAGTCCCTCAAGGACTGTCACCCTCACCCGCTGTGCTGGCAGCCACTTGCAACCTCATCAGGACTCTTCTCTCCGCTGCCGTCCTCCCAGCTTTACAGGGTCGGATCCCTGAGGCCCTCTGCTCCGCGTAGCTCATGGCTGCCTGGACAGGCCTCCTATATGGCTGAGGACTTTTCTTTGTTGGTTTGGATTTTTTTAGACAGGGTTTTTTTTGGGGGGGGGAGGTTTCCAGTACCGGGAATCGAACTCACAACCTCACACTTGCCAGGCAGGCGCTGCGCCGCTGAGCTAAATTCCCAGCCCCGAGACAGTTTTGATATGTAGCCCAGGCTGGCCTTGCACTTGAGGTGATCCTCCTGCCTCAGCCTTCTGAATGCTGGGATGATGCATCCGGCCATGAGATGACCACGCCGGGCCTGCCCGCTGCTTGTTGGTTCTGCCGTTGCTCCTGGGCAGGCCCCAGCCTCCCGGTGCTCTGGGAAGTTGCCTGGTATTTGAGTTCCTCCGATGTCTGCGCAGTCTGTCTCTGCTCCCTGGAAGGGCGGGGTGGAGTGGGGCGGGGGAGGGGAGCGCGGTCTCCGTTCCGTGTCCTCACGCTGACGGCCAAGCAGCGGCTCCGGGGTCCCAGGCACATCTGGATGGGTGCCGGGCAGCCTCTGGGATGCGCTCTCAGGAGTGCCAGCGTCCTCAGGCAGGGCTGCGCTTCTACTATCGGCCGCCAAGGGGCGCTCGAGGCTGAGATCCGAATTGAGGCTTTTCACGGATGCAGGGCCTTGCCGGGGAGGGGCGGGGCCGGAGAGGGGCGGTGCTTTAGAGGGAAGGAGGCGGTGCCAAGGGGAGTGTCATCAGGAGGGCGGGACCAGCCGAGAGTAGGCCGCTGAGAGGCGGGGCGGACGGTGGGCGTGGTGTGTGGGAAAGGGGCGTGGCGCGGCGTTAAGGTTCGGATGTCCAGTCCCTGCCCGCTGTGCCGCCTGCGTTTCCTGTCCTCTATGCCCGCGCTGCCCCGGGCTTTCCCCGAGTCCCAAGGCTCCTTTGCCCCGCACTCTCCGCCTCCCACCCTTCTTTGTGTGCGCGTGCCCTCCATCTTCGTTTGCACCCACTTGACCTCAGATTTCACACCCTTTCTTTGCATCCAATATTTTCCCATGCGTTTTTTGCGCCCACATTTTTGAGCCCTGAGTTCCCTGGCTCAGGGCCCTTATTTCTTTCTTTCTTTCTTTCTTTCTTTTCTTTTTTGGTCTTTTTGTGCAGTTCAGGTCGTGAGCTCACTTAGTAGCCCAGGCTGGTCCCGAACTCACAAACGATTCTCCTGCCTCAGCCTCCCGAGTGCTGGGTGACAGGCGTGCGCCTCCACGCCCGGCTACAACATGCCTTTTTTTCTGTCCGCAGTGTAGCTTGTTTGGAGGAGGAGGAGGTAGCAGCAGACAGCGTGGGACAGCTGTCTTGCGGGCATCAGATTGTGATGTGATAAAAGGCTGTGGCTGAGTCAGGGCAGTCTCGGGGCGGCCCTGGGAGGTGAGCAGGCAGCCAGGAGCCAGAGGGGCACAGCCGGTCATCTCGGTCCCCTCCGCAGAGCCCGGCACCTCAGGGAACAGCAGCCGGCGGCCGGGAAGATGCTGACACAGCTGCTGCCCGCCTAGCATGGCTGAGCCACACACGCCCTACGCCTCCCTCAGGACGTTGCTCGCGCTGCTCAACAGCCTGGTGGCTGTAAGTGTGTCACACCCGGCGCGGGCTCCGCTCCCCGGAAGACAGAAATAAATTGGTCCAGATCGGCTCCAGATCTGGGTTCCCAGGGGAGCGGGCGATGTAGGGCAGGCCGGCCCGGGAGCAGCGGGGCCGGGCGCGCAGAGGCGGGGACGTGGCGGGGACCCTGGATCAGGCCCCGGAGAGCTCGGCTCCGAGTGCAGTGCCGCAGAAATCGAGTTCTACCGGGAGCCCGGGAAGCAGTGATTTTTAAAAATTAATCCCTGCTTCCCCCCTCCGTTCTTTCCTTCCTTTTTCTTCCTTTTTACTTTGCACTAGGATGGTACCCAGGGCCTCCCCACACATCTGAAGTCCATGCTCTACCGCTGCGCTGCACCCCAGCCCCATATTTTCTTGATTTTTACATTTTCAGAAACATTAAAAAAATTTTTTTTCTTAGTATAAAACGAATTCCAAATATGGATTGTTAAATAACTAATTGTTTTTATTTTAGAATAATATAAAGACCCAGGCGCGGTGGGGTGCACCTGTCGTTCCAACACTCAGGAGGCTGAGGCGGGAGGATCACAATTCAAGCCCAGCCTGGGTAACTTAGCAAGACTCTGCCTTAAAAAGTATCTTCAGTGCTGAGGATCCCTCATTTTTAAATTTTTAGTTTTTAAATTTTTTGGTACCAGGAATTGAACTTAGGACCTCATGCTTGCCAGACAGGCACTGCGCCACTGAGCTAAATCTCCAGCCTAGTTCTTTAGATTTTGAGATAGGGTCTCATTAATTTGCTCAGGCTGTCCTTGAACTTGCAGTTTGCTTGTCTCAGCCTCCTGGGTAGCTAGGATTGCATCTGTGTGCCATTGGCAGGAGCTTTATAGTTTTATTTATTGACTGGTTGATCGGTTGATTGAGACAGGGTCTTGCTATGTAGTTCAGGCTGATCTTGAACTCTCTATGTAAACCAGGCTGGCCTTGAACTCGCAGTAATCCTCCTGCCTCAGCCTCCTGAGTGCTGGGATTATGGGTGTGCACCATCACGCCTGGCAGCTTTACAGTTTCAAATACAAATTTCAAGGTGTCCTCCTAACCCACCAAAAAAAATTGCTGCCTGGCAGTAATTATGAGAATATTCCCACATCACTGCCAACTCCAGTATTATTATTTCTTAACATTTTTGCTGATTTTCTCAGCTTTTGCTTCTCTCTACCCTTTACTCAGGGAGAGTTTTTTGTTTGTTTTTGTTCTTGTTTTTTGCTGTTGTTATTTTTGGACGGAATCCCACTATGTCGTCCAGGCTGGCCTTGAACTCACGGAGATCCTCCTGCCTCAGCCTCCTGAGTGCTGAGATGACAGGCGTGCACCCCCACACCTGGCGAGAGAGTTCTTTGTATACAGCACATTTCTCTCTTCTGATTTCTGTTCTAAAGGCATCTGGCGTGATCCTCACCGGCCTGGGCATCGGTATCAATTATGGAGAGGCCGCCCTGACGAGGGTCCTGGGGTCTGCGTCCACGCATCACCTGCACATCGGTCACCTGTACCTGGGATTGGGTGTCGTCACTGTGCTGCTGGCCCTGGTTGGGTGGTGTGGCGCAAAGACAGCCAACAGAGGAAGCCTCTTGTGTGTAAGTCGGATCTGCACACAGGCCCCACACTACCCCTGCCGCGTCCAGACCCCTCACCGCGTGTCTTACAAACTCCTTCGCGCTGCGTGTCCTCTTTGGTGTTTATGGTGTCTCACCTCATGGTCACAGGTGCACTTCGTTTTGTTTTGTTTTTGTTTTTAAGACAGGATCTTGCTATGTGGTGCAGGCTGGCCTTGAACTCATATGTAGCCCAGGCTGGCCTCAATTTTTGGTGGTCTTCTTGACTCAGCCTCCTGAGTGCTGGGGTGACAGGCGTGTGCCACTACACCTGGCCTAACAGATGCACTCTTTAAAAAATTTTAAATCTATGTCTGCAGAGCGTAATGATCGCATTCACTGTGGGGAGTGGGTGTGTGGAAACCATGCATCTTAATTTTTTACTCTTCCTTCTTCTGTCCATCTTTCCTTCCATCTCTTTGTTTTCTTCCCATTTGCAAACAAACAAAGAAAATCGCCAGGTATGGTGGCACACGCCTATTATCCCAGCACTCAGGAGGCTGAGGCAGGAGGATCGTTGTGAGTTCAAGACCAACCTGGGCTACAAAGTGAGCTCAAGGCCAGCCTGAACTGCATAAGCGATGCCCTGTCTCAAAAAGACAAAAAAAAAAAAAAATCTACCTCCTCTTTTCTGTCTTCTTTTATTTTGCCCTAAATTATTTATACTTTAGACCCAAGTGTGCTGGCAATCCCAGGACTTGGGAGGCTGAGGCAGGGGGATGGATCACCATAAATTAGAGGCCAGCCTGGGGTACATAGTGAGTTCAAGATCAGCCTGAACTACATATATACTTTGGTTCAAAAAAACAGAAAATAAGTAAACAAATAATTTATACACTGACTCATATAAGAAAAACTGTGTGATATTGAAGCTGTGTGTCTGTTTTATTTCACATAACATTACGGTCTCAAGATGAAGAAGACATTTTCCTACAGACGACTGAAGCTTATCCTTCTTTATGGCAGAGTAGTATTCCCTTGTTTGTGAATTCCACACTTTCTTTACCCACTCCTCCGCTGATGGACACATAGGCTGCTTCCAAGATCTAGCTATTATGATTGTGCTGTTGTAAACATGGGTGTGCATGGATTGCTATGATGTGATGTCTTTAACTCCTTTGGGAAGACACCTACAGGGGGAATAGCTGGGTTGAATGGAATTTCTTGGTTTCGTTTCTCGAAGGCCCTCTATGCTGATTTCCACAGTGGTTGCACCCGTTCACACCCCCACCAACAGCAGAGAGGGCTGCTTCTTCCCGCAGCCGCACCAGGGCTTGTTATTACCTGATTTCTTGATGATGGTCAGTCCTTCTGGGGCAAGATGGGGTCTCACTGAGGTTTTAATTTGCAGGTGTATCCTTCTTCCCTTTACAAGGCATCCTGTTTCAAGTCCCTCCTTTCCCCGAGTTCATAAATCATCTTCTCCTAACGGAGGCCTTGTTTCTCACCTTGAGCTCCTCAGCCTCTGGTGACCGTGTCTGTGTGTGGTGTGAGGTGGGGATCAGCTGTGACGTCCTCCCACCTGGTTAGGTGACAAATTGTCCCGTGTACTAAGGGGCCATCCAGGCTTCCTCTGCCACACGAGGCATTCCACTGTGCCCGAGTCTGTCCTGGGCACACTGCTCTCTGTCCCGCTGGTCCAGGTGTCTGTCCTTTGCTGACACAGCACTGTTGTAATCACCGCCCGCGCACAGTGCAGCACATGAAAATCCCACAGTGACACGTGTGCCCCATGTTCGCAGCAGCATGACTCATGATAGGGAGATGTTGGAAGCAGCCCGTATGTCCACTGCCAGATGAACGGATGAAGGAAATGCGATGTTTATACACCACCCTGCTGTAAAGAAAAGTACACTGAGCCATTTGTGGTGAAAGGGATGCATTTGAGAGCATAGTGTAAGCCAGGCATGGTGGTGCACGCCTGTAATCCCAGCACTCGGGAGGCTGAGGCAGGAGGAT